ACACACACACACACACACACGAGATGTGCCCATGCGTTTGGTGGGATTGGGACAAGCAGTCAGTGGACTTCTCCACAACGGGTGCCCGGTGTTCGACATGAAGTGTTCCGAATGTAAAGGACGTGGGAAAGCAAAATCCATCAAAATCCCTTTGTGCGGTCCAGAAATGCAGATTGGACCATGTCGCAAAGACAACGTGTTTTGGATTGAGTTGGCGACGAATTGGGCATGACAGAGAACAGTTTTGTGCATCAGCCGTATCATGTTGGCTTGGTAGCTGGTAGGTACATGACGTCCGAGGTTGCAACAGAAGCTTTTAGAGGTGGTCTCGAAGGCTAGTCGTGATTGTAGCGCAAGATGAAATCGCGGGCTCGTCGTGCCCGAGTTTGGGTTTCAAGCAGAAGATTGGCGTGTTGGGGAGTTTCCGCTTCTTGAGCTTTGTCGACATGGGTGTTTATAGTAGCAGCAAACATCTATGCATGGCCATTATGGTTTCATGTGCAGTTGTGTCAGCTGTGATCGTTGGTTCGAGCATCAGGGGAAGTTTCCCTTAGAATACTATGCTGCTCGTATGTGCCCGCCTCACGATGACGCTTGCAATTGGAACTTACACACGCGCTTTGACAAGCAATTGGAACTGGGCCACCTTTTTCTTCTGGTCCTTTGGCCGTGCCCCAGTCTTGAGACTGGGGGGATGTGTGTTAGAAACCGAATGCTTCATTGACCGGCTCCGGCAACAGACGAGTGCTTTGTGGTCAGGATCAGAGCGTACTGCAGCATGTGCTGGCGGATGTTTGAGCGGCGAGGGGAGTGTTGTTGCAGGCCGGCATCAAGAATCCGGGGCTTTTCAGCGTTGTGAAGCAGGAGCGGCTAGCAGTGAAGGCGGCATGCATAGTTTGCTCCGTTTGAAGAGGAGTGCATTCGACGTTCCAAGCTCAAGGAAGGACATCTCAGCCTGTCTCCTAAGGCACCTCGGTCTGGCCATACCATTGACGTGTTCAGGCAACTGCGGCCAAGCATGGCGTAACACCGAGGTTGTCACTGACGTCGTGGTGGCTTTTGCAACTGCCAAGATTCTTGATGACGACCTTTTCGAGGCAGGTGGTGCCAGTCCATGTTGCTTTGCCTGAGTCTTGTTGTGCGAAGAACTCCGTGGGCTATGAGAAAATCGACTCGAAACTAACTAGCAGTAACTAGCACGTCGCGGCGGCCATCCAGATACTGTTAAGTGGATGAAAGCGTTAAACCACACGTGATATGTGCTTGTGCTTCTCATCGAAGGTACTGATGTTGCGGGCAGTGTCGCTCATGGACTGTCCCTTGCGACAGGTGCAGTGCTGCAGGTTGTATTGGTTTTCACCGTAGCAAGGTCACAGATGTGGCTTCAGGAGCTTGTTCCCGATGTCTGTGCTCCTGCCACAAGCAGCTCGGGGAATAAACTGCCAGCAGTTGCCTTCTCCTTGCAGGACTTGCAAGTCATGCTTTGGCTTTTGCTTCTGGTTCCCATGCACCGGATCTTGCAGGACCTGGTGCAAGTTTGCAAAGCCTTCGTGGATTTGCGCAAGGTCGACCGCGAGTGACTCGACAGCGCGACAGCTGAGGCTGTAACAAGTTCTGCTTCTACTGATACTGGGTCCGGGTCAGCGGTTCCCTGCGTGTTTCGTGAGTTTTTATCTGGTGTACCATTAGTCAAACAACATGTTGCCGGTCTCTTCTCTGCTATGGCCTTGTGTACTTCAGGTTCTTCGAGGACGTTGCCAACTATGCTTGCCGCGCATTTACCAGCCCGGATGTCGCACTGTGCGAGTGGTTGCTCGATCTTGGTGCATAGATCCTGTCGAAATTTCCGGAAGTGTTTGTGTGTGCTCTGCGTCCAGAGTATTTTATGAAGGTTTGTGGGGAATCCCAACGTGACCCTGCCGCAGATCGCATCCATCTTTGCAAAGGCTTGGCAGCTGTTGCAGAGTCATTCGGATGGGTCGAGGGCAGTCAGCCTATCAATTTGCACTTGGAGGCGGAAGTTCTTCAGTTGGATTCGTTGGATTTCTTTGCGCATCTGAAAACGATGATGATGCGTCGAAAGGACTGGCTGCGCGGGGCTCCGGCGGGGGTCATGGCCAAATTGTTTGTTCAAACCCCAAGGAGGAACTGCGCCCACACAGCTTGAAGAAGTTCCAGCATGCCTGGCACATGCACAAGAGCCGGCAGGCTCGCCCGACGCGCGTGGCAAAGCGGGCACAGATCTTGCTTCCTGTGAGGAGAAGCAGGAGCGCCAGAGGAGCCAGCCGCCTCAGAGGCCTTTTGCGAACACGAGCGCACGAGATGTCACGAGACTCGTTTGCATTTGGTGCTAGGCGACGTGGAGCTATGGGTCGTGCCTATGTCGAAGACAAGCCCGCTGTCCAGCACCAGTCCCGAACAGAAAAGGCTGGCTGCCGGTCATGTTGTGTTCCGAGCCTCGCGCGTCTCGACAACGTGACTGCTTATGCCCACAGGCGCGGCAACAAAGGCAGCGGCTTGCTGCCATGACGGAGGAAGAGGTCCTCAAAGAGGTCGAGGAAGCAGAGAAACACGCCGGCACAAGCGACTTGCATGCAACTCACTTTAACCTCGTTGGCTGCGGTACCTGTAGCATCAAGGTGCTTCGGCTAAACTGCTGCTAAGCGGCTTCAAAGTCGAAGCACTTTTGGAAGCTCAAGAGGGGCCGAAGGACCGAATGCAGAGCTTGGAAGATATTGAGTGGCTTTCTGAGCACGACTATGCTCTGTCAGGAGGGGAAGAAGACGAAAAGTGAGATCATGGAAGCGTCAACTTCCATTAGCATTCGTTCCATGGTCAAGGCGTGGCATTGCATGTTCCGAAGGCAATGGATACGTTCATAGTAATATCCGCTTGGATCCTGGAGGGAAAGAAGGCGCGCAACGAAGAAGTTAGTGCTTCGGCCAAAGCAGAGGCACGCAAACATGCGAGGCCAGCTGTTGGATGTCCACACATTCCATGCCGACATGTTCTGCATGAGCAAAGCGTTTCGCAGACAAACCGTCACATGCGTTTCAGCAGTTGCTGATTTCCCATGTTTGGGTTCTGCATGCCGGCTTTTACATCTCTTTGGCAGGGGACGCAGATGACGTTCGATGCCCTCGGTAGATTCCCCGGCAGCGTTCCCTGATGGAAAACTCTTATTCTTGCTTGTGCATGCTACTTGTGCACTTCATGCTGCAGTTTCGATCCCTCTGTTTTTCGACATGTCTGTAGAGCCCGAAGCTCAAGACAAGCGAAGGGTCGAGGCCCTCTTTGAAGTTTCTTAGTAGTTCTGGCTCGGCCGCATGATGATGGTGATGCCGATGCCAATCCTGGCTGATGCGTGCCGTGGATGCGACAGACGTTGTAAATCCAGACCATGGATCCTGGGGCAAGAAGGAATGGAAGCTACTTGAAGCCGATGGCACCTTCGCATAACGAAAGCCTGTGAAAGTTTAGAAGCGGACACGCTGACAAGCCGCATACGATCTCCATTTTGGCTTGTTGGCTGAAACTTTGAAGCCAAGGAGCTCAGCCAAAGTCTCTTACAGTTTTCCTTCAGCAACTTTCTGCACGCTGGCGCCTAGCATCAGTGCTTCAGGACATCCCAGGGTTGATTCACGGTTCCTGCGTCCACCTCTGCAACAACCAGTTCTACAGAAAGGTACGCTTTGGTGGCCCGTGTTTCTCGTGCTGTGTGTATTCCTATGTTCATCGAATCAGGCCCATATAGGCTACGCTGTAGAGGGGGGTTTGGGACAAGACATTTATCAGTCAGTTGAGTTGTGTGACACAAGAATAAGATGTTGGTATCTTCAAAGAATTACATTTCTCTGCCTGTAGAAACAAGTCAAATCATCAGCTTTCGGCTATGCGCATGCCGAGACGTCTGTGGAGGTGGCGGAGGGCAGCGGGGAAAGGGGAAGGGGGCGGGTGCAAGCAAAAAAAGGCAATTCCCGAGCTTGGATCAGGATCAAGCTCCCACGCTGGCACATCCCTAATCGCCGCGGGCGCAGAATTTCGTGCATGGCCTGGTATTCAGAAGCAAAAGCTGGCCCAAGCGAAAGCCACCTTTGGGAAGAATGTAAATAAAAGAGGAAACAAGGAAAGCTTCAATCAAGTTTCATCCCAAGTGGGCTCGCGATGCTATCACAAACGAGTCGAACTTGAAATTCATGATGCCGGAGGCGGCAGAAAGGCCACGAAGAAGCAGTTGAGCGGCCGGAAAACAGGACTAGGGGCCTTTGCTCATGAGAGGTTGTACGAATTGGGTCAGCTCTGTGTCTTGGCGACAGAAGGCCGCGCTCTCCTTCGCGCGGGATCGTGGAGTCGAAGTCAACGTCTTCCACGAGAATGTGGCTCTCAGTGCATATGAGCATTGCGAGTGGGAGCTAGCCCTACACCGCTTGGAATGGGTGCAGCTCCGTCGAATCCTCCCCAGCCTAGTTAGCTACAACACTCTCATACGTGCCTTTGAAGCAATGACTTGCAATGAGTACGCCGAAGCAGCAGTTTCAATTTCCGACTCTACACGGCTTGAGTTTGAGCTTAGGAGTGTGTGCTACAGCAAGCTGGCCGGCAGCCCTGCAAACACTGCAAGTGGTTCAGCGAGAGCAATGCCTTGATACAAGCACATACCACACAGCCATCAGCGCCTCGACCCGCCGGTGGACGCTGGCTTTGGAAGTTCTTCGCGGGATGCATCGTGTTCGTGTCCAATGTGGGCTGGTGACTCTCACCGCTGCTATCAAAAGATCCTCTCAGATGAAGAGGTGGGCTTCAGCTCTGGGCCTCTTGACTACGCTTAAACACAACTCAGGGTTTCTTCAGCTTGCCCCGAAGGTTGAGTCATCGGCTGAATGATACGGTTTTTTTCCACCAAAGAAAGATGGAATTCGCAAGCGTCGAAGTCGAACTGCCAGTGTTGTCCAGCAGAATTTGTGCGCGTTTCGCATACTCGCCCAGTGTCAGGACATTCCCAAGGGAAGGCCCATAGGCCCGGAGCCCAATGGCAAGAAAACGCCAGAAAGGAATTCTGCTAGCACTTCGCTTGGGACCCTCGAACCGGCCTAGAACAGGATAATGAGGAAGGCAGTGGTTTCCGGATAAGCCGAAGTTGTGAAGCTTTCGTCATTTCAGTCATGTCTTGGTGACAGAGTGCGGTTAGAACGGGGCTGAATGCATCCTTTGCAACGCGCGGAATCTTGTCGCTCCATTCACTTGCAGGTCTAGTGGACAGCCGGAGACCAGGCCCCAAATGCTTGGGGCCGGAGCTTAAATGTCCAGCCATGAGCCGGCTACATCAACTACTCGAACTACTCGTCGTCCGACTCGTCGTCCGCACTGTTGATTTTACAGAAGACAGAGTTCTTCAACGCATTGTTAGGGAAATCTGCCAGCTTCTTCGATCCATACAGCCCAAAGCTTTCCCCACCGCCCTAAACGGAAGAAGAAACGAAGGAAAAAAGAAGCAACGCCAGGAACAAGGGTACCCAGACATGACGAAGGATGCGGATGGAAGGAGGAAGGACGGAACCAATGCAACTCATGCGAGTCACCATCACAATTGAAGGGTGCGGTACACGCAGACCCGTCGAGAAGCAGCACTAAGACCATGACAATTACTGCGACTACTGCCATTACTATAAACGAGGTACTAATCAACTACTCATGGCCAATTTTCAGCATGACTAGCGAAGCAGCAATGGCCCATGAATTCAGGGTAACGATAAATGACTAGCTGCTAAGTACTGGTTGGTTAAGGTTTGCTACCAGTCACAAGCGCTACTCCCACTAGTTGGATCGCTGTCACTATCATTATCACTTTCGCGGCCACTATGATCCAAAAACTAGCAGTTCTATGACTACCGCCACCACCACCACCACCACCACCACCACCACCACGACCACGACCACGACCACGACGACGACGACGACGACGACGACTACTACTACTACTACAGAAGAGGAGGCTGTGGGGCCTGCGTTTTGGCAACCCACTATTTTGAGGGTTTTTGCATGTTGTGAGTGGTCGTGCATCTGTTTCTGTGTGAATAGCTGAGTGTGTGTGTTTGTGTGTGTGCGTGTGTGCGTATGTTTTGTTTGGACCTACAACATCAAGTCGAAGTTGTTGCAAACCAGGAGGTCTGTTTATAAACACTGGGTTTGTTTATGGTGACAGCGCCGGGTGTGCGTCCTGTACGTCCTCTCACATATCTGGGGTGGGGG